GAAGGACACTAGGGCAGTGTGTCACTAGCAATCATTACTGCTGGTAATGCAACAATTGATCTGTAAGTGGTGATGCTTTGAGACTATGTTGCCATCTTGTTGCCCAGCAACATCTCATTTTCTGATTTCAAAAACCCCTGTGAATCTGAATAAATTGTTACCAAAGGATCACAAAGAGTGACTTCCTAATGTTAGCTTTTCTCTACACTGATTATCTGTTGTTTTCTCTAAAGAAGAGCTTCTCGCTGCTCTTATTTTTTTTAGAACCATTATCTCATGGATTCTTTTAAGACAGTATATCATAATTCATTATTATCAATTTTTACTTTCATGTTCAAATTATCCCTAGTTTAGCTAGCAGATAATGTGTCTTACTATATAAAAGATTCTAGAGACTTAAAAGATATATCAAATTATTTTAGCATTGATCCTAGATTCCCTGACTTAAGAAAACAAGCCAATCCCAAGTGCCTAAACATTTACCAAACAAAACATTCTGTTCACAAAATCTACAATAAAATTATGTTCACAGAGCTCAGTATACAGTTTTGCCAAAGAGACTGGGGTGTGAGGCAAGGAGGGTAAAGGGAAAAGATCTTTTTCAAGTTAGAATCACATCAGTCTGCTACACTATTTGTGGTCTGTGGCCTATAACTTTAACTCAAGAGGTAGAAGTCTTCCAGAGACTTCTATGCTACTATGCTACTCTGCAATTTTCATTTTGGAGAAGGGGGTAGAAATCTACTTAGGATTGCTTGTCTTTTTCCCTGAGGAACTTCTCAATTTCCTTTTTGGAGCCTGTGCTTCTGTGTTCTCAGATCTGCACTGGCTGGAGCTGTTTAGTGAGGAGGCCTCCAGAAGATGCTGCAGCAGTTTTTTTTTTTTTGTCCTGGGCTATTCTTGCTTTGTCCCCTCTTTATTTTTAATGACATCTAAGAAACCTACCTCCTCAGGTACACTCTCTCCTTGTTCCACTTTCCTGGGAGCTGAATTTCTACAGTGAAGACAAGTGCCTCTGCCTTTCCTTTGCTACAGGAAACCCCAAACCCAGACAATGGACCTCCTTGGAACCCACTCTGCCCACCAGCACAGAAGAAGGTGAGGGTGAGCAGCAGGCTAGACAGAAGATTCATCTGTATTTCTAGCTGCTCCCCATTGTTCCTGCTCCCATTGCTCCCTGAGCTCCTCCTGTCAGATCAGCAGCAGCATTAGATTTTCATAGGTGTATAATCTGTATGTGAACTGTGCATGTGAGAGATATAGGTTGCAAGCTATAATCATCCAGGGCCCTCACCACCACCACTACCACCCCCACCCAGCCTGCACCCTGTGAAAAATTGTCTTTCATGAAACCAGTCCTGGGTGCCAAAAAGCTGAATACCTCATCCTCTGATGCGGGACTCTTTCAGAGAGGCTCAGTTTAGTTGGGTCAGCATATCTGGACCTACCTTTCTGGGTAAGACTCTCATACTAGAGAGCTCGCAAAGCACATTGTATGGCACTCATGGAACCCAGCTACCTTGTACAAAAAGTGCTTTTGTGGCTTCCAAAAGTCAAAAGCATTCATGAAAGTATTTCTTTTAATGGCTGAATCTTTGTTACAGTCACAGCTATTCAGGGAAGCTACATGTGTCAAGGATAAGTGGACACCTTGTCAAGGCTCTTGGTTTTCCAAAGGTCCTCACACACTTGTAAACCACGTATCTGGCATCTGACTGCTAGGCCCCCACTGACTGCTGTCTGGCTGGAAATGTCTGTGGCTTGAGGTTTATGGAGCCTGCTGTCTTAGCTCTGGTATCCAAGAAAATAGCCTGAAACGCTAAGCTATGTGCTAACACATTATGGATGAATCTAGTCCCAGGAAGCAGGAATAAGAAAGAACAGGACAAGCTAGGAATGAAGGGGAACACATGGATGTGCCATATAGGGTGTGTCTGCCTAGTCTGGCCACAGCTTTGACACAAGCTGGTTGCTTTTTCTCTCAAGGTTTCCTTTAATCAAGCTTGTCTGCATAGCAGACTGGGAGAGGGAACGCAAAACATTTGTTCACTGATTCTAATATTTCATTGTCAAGATTAACTTCCCTAGTTATGCCAGTAGGGAGCCCAGGGTAGAGGGGTGGTCCATGGTGTATGTGACGGGTGATTGTGACTTGCCAATCTGACTTGAGTAAGAACTTTCTGGCAGATTGGTAAATTCTGGGTGTGTCGCAGATAATTTACAGCAAACTAGCAGAGATGTACTATGAATATGGGTGGTCTCAACCAATAAGTAGAATTATAACTTGGACAGAATAAAAAGGGAAAGAAGAGAAAAATGTTTCTCTATTCTGGAAGAACTCTAGTCTTTGCCATTGTCTTTGGACACTGATCTGCAATTTCTTCAGTCTCCCAACAATAGTTTCTTCGTATATGTGCTACTGGATTGAGCATACCATCAGTGATTCTAGAGTGAACTTCCAGGCCTTTGATCTTTGACTGCTTCTGGGTCCTCTGGCCTTTCAGTGTATGCTTTGGATTCTTTCACTTATGATCTTGTAAACTCCTGCTTCTGATCCTGTAAACCTACCTAATAAACCCTTTGTATCATTACATATATTTTATATTGACCCTTCTTCTCTAGAGAACCACAAATAATACACTGTACAGAAGGGAGATGTTTTCCAGTCATAGGCCCAAGTGCCAGGAGGAACTGGCACCCTAGGCTGGCAGTTGTAGTAGCTGGAATCTAAAATCCAGGATCAGCACAAGCTGAGGCTACATCCAATTCAGCCAGCACAGTGCTGTACACCTGCTTTGCACTGCTCAATGGTCAGTGTATACAATCCCAGCCTCATTGCCCCAGAACAAAGTTCTAGCAATCTGCCATAAAACTCTGCCCCTCGTGGTTTAGAGTTTCTCTGTCCATGTGACTAGCCAAAAAAGCAAAGCAATATCAAATAGTTCCAAATCAGTTGTGGTAAACAGCTGTGGTAAAAAGCCCACATGGCTGTGCCAGGTAAGCATCATTGATACATGAAATCATCTGCCCTAGTGTAGCGGAAGTCCCCACTCTTGCTGTGCACTTTGCTCTCCTGAATTCTCTGGTTCTTTTCTATCCCTCAAGGTTGTAAGGCTTGTGTGCCAGCTTTGAGGATGAGTTTTTACTCCTGAAGCAATAGACATCTCTAGTGAGGCAGGTCCTTTGAAATTTAGGGTAGAGATGAGCTCTTGTAGACTGCTTTTGGCTATAAGAAAGAGACACAGACAGAGGAGCCTGGCTATGGAGATCCATGCTATCCTTCTAAACCCTCCTGGGAGCTAAGTAGTTCTACCTCCTCTAGGGAATGAAGGAAGAAGTGAAGAAAGAGACAGCACAGAAGTATGTGTGTCAATGGGGCTTCCTTAATGTGGGAGAAATGATAGGGTAGTGAGAAAGTGCTCCTCTGTCACACCCCTAGGTTCTAAAACACTGTGTCAAGACCTCCTAAATGCCTTTTCACTGGGATGGGGACTGGGGCCACTCCAGGACTTGCTCAGGATCTGCAAGTCCCTGAGCTCAACAAATCTTTTCAAGAGTTGAGGGATTGTCTTCCATTCTCTAAGTGTTTATTTAGGGTCACTGCCTTGCCCTGGCTGAATCAGGAGGGAAAAATACACCCAACACACTCACTGGCTTACCACCTCCTTCCCCATCATTCCTTTAATGGACTCTGGATTTCATCTGAGAAGGGGTGAGTGAGAAACCCAAAGCCCTGAAGGATAAGCGTGGCCACAGTTAATTCCATTGTATGTGTCTAGAAGCTCCTCTTCAGAACAAGAGAGTACTGTCAATAGTTGAACTCATTTTAGGGGATATAGCTGTTAGTCTGGGAAACAGGAAAAATCACTTTCAGAACAATTATTCACTAAGAAATGAGCATCTGATTTACTAGACCCTACACTGTGGCTTGCAGGAATGACGTGAGTAAGGTTTGCACACTAGAACAAGTGGCCACTGCTGGTTGGGAAGCCAAAGCAGAAGGTTTGAGGTCAACCTGAGATATTCAGCAAGATCCTGTTTCAAGATTAAAAATAAAGAAGACGGATCAGCTTTTCTTTTGCATTTCAGATACCCACAGGACATGTAAGTTTTGAACAAAGCAAAGAAATCACCTCAGACTCATAGTGTGGACCTGAAAGGCACGATCTTATTGGTATCCTGGAATACTATGAGCTCTACATGCATTGAACTCCCATGATTAAGAGTGAGCAGATACAGAGATGGATGACTTTGTAGAGACCTTGTGTATTCATCAAGTGTCCTTATCAATATTCAACCTGACAGTCTGTTATTAAAAACCAGCTGTATGCCAGGCACTGTGTTGAGCCCTACATGCACATCATTGGATTTGAGCTTTTGTTTTAAGGGTCTTTCACTCATACTGACAAGACAGAAATGCCTGCATCTCTGCAACAGATGAGTGATCTGGAGGAGAGGACACAACTGTCAGTCAGGGGCCTTGAATTTACTTTAGTCTGAGTTCCGCCACTAACTGCTCTGGTTCTCAGTTGCCAGCTACAAAATTGGAGTTGTCTTAATATAATTTAAATTCCTTCCTGACTTCAGTATTGGTAATTCCAAATCTCTGTATAAAGTGCCATAGGAGCCCAAAGGAGAGACTGCTGAATGGGGCAGGGCTGACATTTGAGTCAGGGATATGGAAATGAGCAGATTCCTGGAGAAGGAGATGACTGGGAAAGGCTCTCCAGGAAGAGATAATGCAGAAAGGCTGTTAGGATCGGAGAAGAGTGGTGCCTCACTAGGTACAGCATCTGGAGGGCAACAGCATCAGGAGGAGAACATAGAAAGGCAGATAGGTAGAGATCCTTGGGTGCCCTAGGAAGGATTTTGCTTCAGGGGTATAGTAGGGCTTAGGAACAATCCCATGATACAAAGCACTGGGGTCAGAAATCAAGAGAAAGTGTGATCAGCATCACCAGGGTGCACAAAGCATACACTGGCTCAAAGGTGACAAAGAATCATCTTAAAGAAAGCATGTTTATTCACTGTTTCCACATTGAGATTGTAAGGCCCAAGATGAGGTACACCAAGGCAGGGACCTCCACCTTCCTCTGTCAATTGTGGCTGATGAAACCCAAGATGCCATGGTGAAATTCTCTTGACTCCAGCAGATAGGGGCTATCTGGCTGAAGGTTGGCTCAGGACCAGCATGATCCACATGAATGGCCTGTCTGGAGTCACATGAGGGCACCAGACCTAAAGGGCTTTGGCTTTCTGGATCATCCCTGGACCAATGGCATCTGTTACCTGAAAATTTATTAGAAAAGCAGACTCTCAGACTCCACCCAGATGGAGTCAGAATCTTTCATTCTCACAAGATCCCCAGCTAATGCAGAATAAGCATATTAAAGTTTTAGATGGTCTCCATTTAAATTGCTAAATAAGCTTCTCCCCACCCCAGGTCTCTCTTTATTTCTCACCTCGGGGAAAGAGGAGCAGTTCCTGAGCTTCCAGTCTGATTAACTACAATTTCTTCCCCATTCATATGTTCATTCAGACAAGCACTATTTGAGCACTTCCTAAATTCCAATGTATATCCCATCTCCATCCCTGATGCTGCTACCTTATGCTGTTACTTCTAACAGACAGGAAAAGACCTGGGGCTTGGGGTAGAAAATCTACTTACTTGGGTGTAGATGTTGGTTCACGGGCAGTAGAGAAGTAACTCTCTTGTTAGGTCCTGACCCTGGAGTCTGAGGCAGGTATAACAGTATCAAGCACCATTTCACTGTAGGGAGGCCAGCAATGAGTCCCTTGTTGGAGTGGGGTGGCATGCTTCTTGTTCAGCCACAGTAATCCCCAGGAGATGGCAATTGAGAAACACATGCATTGAAAGCAGGACCTCCTTGCAGGAACTGAGGAATAGTCTCATAGAGGGAATGTGGGTGCCACCAAGGCATGGAGCTCACTGAGCAAGTCAGCATTCAGGAAGGCCCTGGGTTGGGATTAGCTTATTATTAAATAGAAAGAACCACTAGTTCAGGGCTGTAACCTAAGAGAAGGTTGAAGTGCAGAAGGGCCATGTGCTCCGGTCGGCCTGGGAGCAGAACATTTAGCATAAAGGATGCTGCATGTAGTCTGGGGGAGTTTAAATCTTGCACTCAGTGCTCCCACTTCCCCATTGTAGCACTGAGGTGCAGAGGCTTGAGGCAGCAGCTGGGAAGCCATGTGAACTCATCTGTGAGGATCTGAGGTGGCTGACTGCTGGACCCTGGAGGCTGGGGTGCAGGCCACTTTCACCTGGGAGTAGATGACAGGGGAGCCCTAGAAGGAAAGAACACTTGGGTGAGGGCCAGAGGGTGGCCCACAGGGGAGGCCACACAAGTCAGGTGACTTACCTCGTTCGTGAGAATCTTGGGTCTGGAGGCTGCTGTGGAAAGAAGAGGTGCACTTAGCTGTGGAGGCCTACATAGCATCTCTCTGCACCCTTTCCTGGTGGCCAGACCCACCCTTGCTGCCTTCTGTCTCCTCCCTGTCCAGCAGCTGCCCCTCCTTCAGCCTCACCATGATGACCAGTCCTCTCCTCCTCATCACCTCACATGCTCCTATGCTTAGTTCCTGGGGAGCTCTAGGAGAAGGAAACCTACCTTTACTCTTCTTAGTTCTCTGATTTCTGATTTACATCATGCATTATGAAGAGGCAACACAGCCCAGAGCACACTTTAGAGAGCAGACTCCAGGTCCAGGCTACCTCTAACTGAGCCTGGGTCTGCCTTGCCTCTCCTGGGGCATGGAGCAAGTCATTCAACTTCTGCCTCAGTTTCCATACATTGCCTGCCTACAGGGTTATTGTAACTATATGTGAATTCATTTGCATGTATGTATATATTAAATATTGTGTCTGTATCATTTCTGTCTCTCATGAGCTGAGTAAGTTTTTGTGTTTCCAGAGCAGTTCTGAATAGGATAAATAAGTTCTGTCATTATCATAGGCATTTGTGTCATAGTTCCCTGTGCTAAAGTATAGTGCTAAGGGATACAGATGAATAATACTGTTTTTGTTTTCAAGCTGGAGTTCTTCATAACTACCACCAGATAGGGCTCTCTACTTTTGATTAGGTATCAGGATTCCCCAGCACTTCACTGAGAGTTTAGACTCCAGAAGCAGATTTTTTGGTGGTTTTTAGTTACATGACTTTGGGCCACTCCTTTCAGGTCACTATGCCCCAGTTTCCTCATAGGTAATATGTGGATAATAGGGTTTATTTTCAAAGGTGATATCAATTTGAATGAGCTCATGTGTGCTAGAAGAGTATTACAGAAAGAACAGTGGAGGACCGAAATGGTAGCTTAATGTTACAGTGGCTGCCTAGCATGTGTAATGCTCTGAGTTCAATCACACACACACACACACACACACACACACACACACACACACACACACACTAATAATAATAATAAGAAAGTAAAAATGGGGTGTAAACACAATTCACTTGACCTTATACAAAAGAAATTGGAAAAGTAGAATCAGGCTAGTTAATCACATTGCACTTTTCATAAAGCGGTTAGAAGTCTGCCACACAAAACCTTGCTTCTCTTTCCTGCTCCTGGCAGGAGGAAGTCAAACTTCAGATACCTCAATGTGACCACTTGCAAGAGTGGGGACAATAACAAAGCCAACTGGCACACAAACTGCATCACAGCAGCTTGCCACAGCATTTCCATGTCTGTTTCCTCAGAAAACCCCTGCACTAACCCCATGAGATGGTGTTCTAGTTGGAATAATGTCCCTCAAAAATGTTCATACCTTAATTTTGCAACCTGTGAATAGGTTACCTAAGTTTTCCTTAGAAGGATTTTTTAGGTGTGAAGGTTATGAACTTTTAGATTCTGTGTTATCCAGGTGAGCACAATGTGATCATGTGCATCAGAGAACTTTTCCCAGAAGTGGTCTGAGGAAGGCCTAATTACAGAATGAACCAAGTTGCTGCAACTTTGCTGCTATGAAGACGGAGGAAGGAGACATACATACACCAAGGAAGTGGAAACCGCTTTAGCAGGACAAGTCAAGAAACATTCATCCCTACAGCATGCAGAACGGCACCCAGCCCTGCCAGTACCTTGATTTTATCTCAGTAAGACCTGTGTCAGACTTTGAACTTATAGGACTGTCAGATAATCAATTTTGTGTTCTTTAACCCCACCAGATTGGTGGTAACCTCTCACAACAGCAACAGCAAACTAACACAGGCAGGAGGATCCATAGACTGATGTATTAAAGTCCTTCTCCCAATTCATGCACTGAAGTTCTAAACTCCTGTGTGATCGTATTTGGAGATGGAACTTTTGGGATAATTAGATCATGATGGAATTAATGTCCTTATAAAATAGGACAAGAGAAAAAGGATCTCTCTTCTATGCAAGGGAACACTAAGACAGCATCTGTCTGCAAACCATCAAAAGGGACCTCATCCAGAGCCTGACCATGCCAGCACCTTGCTTTTGGACTTCCAGCTTCCTGAACTGTGGCTCATACACACTTATTCTTCAAGCCATTCAATCTAAAGTATTCTGTAACACTAGTCTGAATCAAGACAGCAAGGAATAAAAAAAAACCCACTCCATTTTATGGATGAAGACACTGAGGCTAGGAGAGCTTAAGAGATTGCCCAAGGGAATGACATTATGCCAGTTACACTGAGGCCAACTGTAGAGAACAGAAAAAGGATCACTGCATGCTGGGGTGGGACTGAACTCAAACAGTACAGCCACAAGTTAACAATTCCTCTGCCCTACTTTGAGGTATAGCTCTATGCCTGGTTAGTCCAGACCTGCTGAGGAGGCAGAGACTGAGCAATATTGGCTGTCGGAGTTGAGATTAGCCAGAATGGAGACCCTCAGATCTTACCTGCGTATTTATTTTCTCCTTTGTTTCTTCGTACTTCTGAGTAAACCACGTCTCTTTCTCTAGGATTTACTTAGAAACAAGTGGAAGTTTCAGAGGATACTAAGGCACTTGGCTGTTTTCTGAGCTCCTCCCTCCCCTCCCAGACAGTTTGTTCTCTGGAAGGACTAGTGCCCGCCAGGCCTGTATGTAGTCCCTCTTCATCTCCTGCCCCAGCCCCCACCCTGCTAACTCTTATTTCCCTGCCAAAAGAGAGGGCCCTCTTTACCATTGATGTATACTGGTTGCAGTTCTATCCAGCCTGGTACGTTTTGGTAAGTGGTCTCTTGGGGGTTCAAATCTGAAGGGTTCCTGTGAAATACAGAAATACTGCTGGTTTCCAAGAAGTCTGAGAAAGTAACTATGATGTTTACTCTCAGTTAGTGAGGCTTTACTACAGGATGCTTGCCAAGTCTAGAAAAATAGACAGATGTATAACAAATTGCCTATGTATATTATGTTATGAATCTTGAGAAATCTGTATCATCTAGCTTACCAGACTTTATGTAACCCTGGTGTGCAACAGGCATTGGGTTAAAGCTTAGAACTGCATTGCATTAGTACTATTTTCTCCCCATTTGGTAGGTGAAAAACTGGAATTTCCATATGATTAAGGGACTTATGAAGACCATGTAACCAGAAAGAGGAAGCACTAAGATTCAAATGAGGCTCCAAAATCTTTACTTTTAGAAAAATCAAAGGCTTATAAATCAGAATAAGAAAGGCTTAGAGAAACTCTGGATGGTTTGGATATTGCTACCCTACCCCCAAGGAAGGTTATGAGCCATGGTGTGGGTCTTAAAGTCAGCCTTTAGGACCCAAGATGGAAACCCTTCTTCATAGGTATCTCTCTTGCTGGCAGAGTGATCTCTGAGTGACCAAATTTTGTGGCTTTGTTTTCTTGACTGTCATTACAACAAGAGTTGATTAGGCTGGCTATATCCAGAAATTTTCAGGCTAATTCAAGACCTGGATGGATTTATAATTGGTCACTCAGATAACCAAGTCAACAATAGTACAGTGTTCAAGGATGTGCTATAAAAAGTGAAAATCAACTAATTCTTGAGAAAAGGGTCTATGAAGGGAAGGTGGTAGGTTAGATAATGCTAGGAACTGCACTGAGCTATCCCAAGGGAGTGGGAATCCAAAATGATACCACATCAACAACATGTTAAGAAACTGGGCATTTGGTAATAATTGAATTCATTCCATGTTTTCTACCCTGTAGGCATTTCATTAACTACACTATAGGCCAGGTCTTACCTGGAGAAGTCAGAGGCAGATCTCTCTCCTGAAAAAGAAAGCACAGGGCCATTGGATTCAAGTCAAAGAAAACTCCACAGGGATGGAACTCACAGGAGACTCACACAGAGATTGGGAGTTGCTGTCTCTGAAGTTAAAATTCTCCTAGCTGTGCCCAAGAAAGCTGATAGAAGCAGCAAAAACTACTAAACTGTTGACTCTAGTCTTGATCAGTGCAGCAATAAGTTGAAAGGGGAGTACACAGTCCCCAATCTGTTAATCTAGAGTTTTAAAGCTATAAGCAGTCTAACAGCTGTAAACAGAAAATAGATCTGATCACCTACAAAAATACTGTACATTTTAAAAAATCAGTAAATACCAAATCCTATTTGGTTTCTGTGTTCAATTCTACTTCTCAGTCTGGCTTTTTTTTTTTCCTCTTCGCATTCCTTGGGGGTCTTCGGAAGGCACAGAGAAACACTGCAGTTTATGAAGTTGGATTCACTCCATCACATTAAGGTCTGTTCCACCCCATAGGCTGTTTCAGCATCCTTGCATATGGTAAAGAGGACTTCTAGGGGTTCCAGAGGGACAGAGGAAGGACTAGGTGGTGAGGGGGAGGAGCATTTGAGACCAGTAGTCACTTAGTCAGCATGAGTCTGAGAAAATAGAGATTAGAAAGGCATAGACTCAAATGCAAGCATGCCTGGGAAGTACCCACCTGCTTTTCTTGAGAACCAGAAATAAAACAGCAACGCTCCAGCAGCAAGGCCCAGTATGCTGAGTAGTGCCCCAGTGACTCCTGTAGCTACAGCACTTCTGTTCTCGGTTGGCCCTGTGAGGAAGACCCCAAGCATGAGCTCCAGAGAGAACCTGCCTCAGCCTCTGAAGCTGATGCTTGGAGGAAGGGATGAACTGAGGTGACCAGCTCCTTAGGTTAAGCAGGCACTGGTGTGACACCGGAAATGGCTCCTGCTTTTATTCAGTGGCTCATTTTGGTGCCTCAGGCAAGGCTTGAGGGTCAAGATGCCAGGTGGCCAATGAGAGAAGGGGTGGCCAGCTGGTAAACTCTACATTCAACAGTGCTCTTTTTCTCCATAACTGGAAACATACCATCACTTCAGAGTACAATTGGAGAGTTATCATCAGAGAGTGTTAGAGAAGAATTGTTCCTGGTCAAGCATTATAAAGATTATCAGAGCACCACTGGAGGACATAGAAGGTCGATTTCTGTGGAGCTTACCTGTGATAAAAAGTGTCACCAGTTCACTCTTCTGGGCCCCCAAGCCATTGTCAGCCTCGCAGGAATAGTTTCCAGAATGTTGTGCAGTCAAGGAGAGGTTGAAGGACACTCCTTTTGCAGAGAAAGTTGAGTCGTTCCTCAGGACGACATTCTCATGATAAAACCGGTACAGGATTGGCGGGGAGCCTCTCAGAGCCTCACAGTGAAGCTCTACCACATCCCCCACCATGGCCTGGGCCTTGGAAACCCGGAGGGTGAGGACAGGGCGGGACACTGGAACTGACAAGAACAAAATTTCAGTAGTAGCTTCCTGCTTTTAACGTATTTGTTTTGAGACAGGGTCTTGCTAAATTAATAAGTTATCCAGATTGAATTTGAACTTGCAATTCTCCTGCTTCAGCCTCCTAGAATACTTGGATTATAGACATGTGCCACCATGCCCTGCTTGCTTCTAACACATTTGTAAGGAAAAGAATTATGCTTATGCAAGTGGAAAATGTCAGGTTTCATTCAATCTTGGGAAAAATTGAAACACATATGATAAACTAAGCTAATTATTTTGATCTGCAAATAGCTTTTCATGTAGATAAATATACAGTAGAAAAGTGTAAAACATATATGTCACAAAAACTTCTAATAGCTTATACATATATAAAAATATTTTCACCTTCATTATTCATGAAGCATATATATATACCTAAAAGCAGGTATAAATACTATTCCCTTTTCCTTCATCAGATTGGTATTGCTTTGATCACTATCCTAATGAAGGTGTGGATAAACAGGCATTTCATACACCTCATGTGGGAATGCAAATTTAAAGATACTACCTTGAATGGCAATGTGAGAATATCTACAAAATTGGCAAAACATATAAACTTTGACCTAGAAAGTCTACTTCTAAGATCATGTCCTTTAGGGATACTGATCTAAGTAGGTCAAGATATTTGCACAAGAATTTCTGGTGTAGCATTTTTATAATAGCTAACAACTTGTAATAACTTAGTACACTGGGTAATGAAATATTAAAATACCCAAGATGAATAAGATGTATTTTTAAATTGAATTGCAATTTGCATAGCTATCTGTAAAATATGATCTTACACTTTGTGAAAAATATTCTGTGCCTTGATGTTTACAGAATATTTCTGAAAGATGCATATGAAATACTTATGGGTGACTGTGTCTTGGAAGAGGAAGTAGAAATAAAACTTTGCTTTTCAATATGACTCATACTGTTAGAGATTTTGTAATAAAGATTTATGCACTCTCTCAGGATAATAAATTATTAAAAATTATAAAAACTTATGTTAAAACATAGCCCTCAAAAGATGAAGTGTCACAATGTAGATTAATGTAAAAAGTTGAATAAGGCCATGTTTCAACCTCATTTTTGCATTATTAGCTATGTTTTAAAGTCAGTTACTTTATCATTCTAAGCCACAGTTTTCTCTCCTGCAAAATGGGGATGAATCGGTCCCCCAAAAATTTTTCTTAGGGATTAAATGAGATAATGCATGACCATTGCACAAGGCCTGCAATGGTCAAGGTTCAGTTAATGTTGATGATGTTGGGAATGATGATAATGAGAAACAATCCTCTCTCTCTCTCTCTCTCTCTCTCTCTCTCTCTCTCTCTCTCTCTCTCTTCTTCCTTTTTTTTTTTTATAGTTCTGTTTGGCCCTGATCCATCTCCTGATGGTAGGACTCACACAATTCATGCTGGCTGGACAAGAAGTCTTAGCTGTGATGATAACAACAGCAGAATATCATGCAGGCATACAAACAAGGGAATGAGGATGAATAGAAAATTATAAACTCATAAGCACTGAGTATAGGAGGTAAGAGATAAGAGGTGGCGTTTCCTGGGTTGTAAGATGAGGACAGCAGCATTAAGTCGTGGAACAAGCCTGTGCACTAGGTGAAAGAGGTCAGTTGGAAAGCTGTTTGGCACTGGTCCTTCAAATCTCAAAGGAAAACTGGTGAGTGGGTGGGTAGGTGGGTGACAGGAGAGAACAGTGAGCTGGCTGGATGAGAGAAATCGTATCTGAAGTCAAATCACTTCTTTGATGCCAAAAAAAAGTTGGCTACATCAACCACCTTGACTAGAGCCTAGATTTTGGACTGTAATTGCCCAGTCTACTTGCTTATTTAATTCTGTCTCCATTACCTATAATACTCAGGGATCCAGCCAAAAGAGAGTGAGCTTTTCAGCTTGTATTTTACTTTACGTCTATAAGAGTGTGTTTTCCCACCATCGTGTGGTCTTTTGTTTTTGAGATGAATTCCAGGGGTAGGGATAGCTAGCTTCTCCTTTTGTACATCTTTTTAACAGAAACCTTTGAGTTTCTCTATTTCTTGTCTACAAAAATCAGAGAATTCTAGGGCAGGGGGTAGATGGCCATGATTTCTATCTAGTCCAGAAGACTGAAGTCAATATAGAAAGGATACAACTAGTTATTTTCAAAGCCTAGTCTAGAGTATTTGTCTCAACAGCCCTCAGCATACTTTTTCCATAACTTCTCTCTAAACAGGGATTTAGAGTTTGGCCCACAGGAGTCATCACTGAACAAAATCAAAGTTTAGAAGGAGGTTTTCCCATTGGTATTATACTTAGTAGCCAAAGGTCAAAAGCCTGAAGAATGGAGGGATTTGACTGATGCGGACCATTTCCATTTCATTTCATCTTGCTTGGCTGGTCTCTGTCTGGGTCACCTGTGTCCTTGCTTTTAGGAATTACAGAATGTCTCTCTTGAAAGGTTGCATAGATAGCTAGTGCTAGCATAATATTTCAATATAGAAAGTAAGCAAAATTCATATGCCAGTTAATAAAAGAAGCACAATAGTAGAGACTTGTTGGGAGTCAATGAGAGATGCACTCAGACAAAGAATGGTCTAATATTTTCAGAGGCAGAGGAACCCATCCTTGGAATGCCTTGGTTCCCTTTTTGCATTGTAATTTCAGATTACAATATAGTCGAAGTTCTAGAAAGTCTTCTAAGCATTCTTAATGAAGAATTTTAATTCAAGAAGACTGATTAACTGTGCTGCTAGAAAGCCTAGATTCCTGAAACTATATCACAAGAAGGCTCCCAGACTTCAGAAAGGTGTTCTGGAGACAAGATGTCCACCCAGATGCCAACACAAAGGGCAGCTGCTGCTGTTGGAGAAAGCGGGCACTGTCAGTTTTTGGTTGTGTTGCTGCTGACTTACCTGTGACTTTGAGTGTCACCGTCTCACTGCGCTGGACTTCAAGGTCATTGTCAGCCTCACAGGAGTAGTTTCCAGAGTGTTCCACTGTCAGAGTGAAGTTGAAGGATGTTCCTCCTCCAAAGGAGGCTGAACTGTTCCCCAGCATGACATCCTCATGGTAAAACCGGTACAGAATTGGAGGTGAGCCTCTCAGGGCCTCACAGTGAAGCTGCATCACATTGCCCACCACAGCCTGGGACCCGGAGGCCCTGAGGGTGAAGGCAGGACGGGACACTGGAACTGGGGGAGGAAAATAACCATCAACTGATCCTGTTTAAATACATTCTGCCACACTAACTATATTTCAATCAGGAAAATATTTTCCTTAGATTTTAATGACTTTGAAATATTACTGAGAACTCATAATATCTTCAGATATCAAGAAACAATAGCATTTGCATTATGTTATTTATAGTTTGAAATACATATACAAACTGAAATGTGTTTGAAAAATCTGAAAGCAAAGATTAAACCTAAACATAGGCATCTGAGAAGTTAGTGGAAAAAGAGAAGTCAGCTCACTAAAGACCTGTGGTCTACATAGTCAGGATGTAATTCAGTCTGGACTGCATCAAGCCCAAAATGTAGTATTGATCAATAGTTGCTCATTGTTACATTGATTAATCAAAAATTAAAGGGTATGAGTAAATAAAGACCCCTGAACTACCATATATGGTAGACATTCAGTGATAAGAAAGACACTATTCTCAGAGAACCCACAGTCTAGAAAAAGTGATAGGCAGCATTAAATAAAAGCACAAATAAAGAGGTAAAATGTTAATCCTTGATACAAAACAAAAAGCAGACATGGTGTTTTGAGATGCTTAACACTGGGACTGATTGTAGTATAGATTGTCCAGGAAAATTCCTTATGAAGTCACATTTAAAATTAACAATTAAGAATGCGGGAATGAAGATATGGAGCCAGGCAGATGATATGTGCAAAGACTCTGAGTTGAAAAGAACATTCTCATATTTGAGTTACTGGACCAAGCTGAGCGTAGCACTGAGTAAAATGTCCAGAGGACACCATAAACACTAGGAAATGGCTTCATAAACCATGCTGAGAAGCTGACTCCTGCTCACCATGCATTGGGAAAACTATTTTGACTCTAGGGCACAAAATAGAATGCAGAGGGATATAAGTGACACAAAGGAGATTAGTGTCATGCAGTAGATGAAATGATTGATTGGACAGGAATAGTGGTAGTAGAGAGAGATAGGAAAGATGGAAGAAACATGTAGGAAGTAGAGGGCCTGCTATGAGGGATTAAGGAGAGAAATGGCTAGGAAGATTTCTGGATTCCTGATTAGTGTAACTCAATGAAGGAAAAAATCTTTCACAGAGGTAGGGAACTCATGAGAGGTGTAGGTCTGAGAGAAATGCCAGTAGATTTTTAGAGGTGATTTGGTTCAGCTTTTGATAAATGTAAGTGGAAACATGGCAACTGCAAGTGTCCAGGTGGGAGGTCCCTTTAAATATAAATGTGTAGGAATCATTTTTATAGATGATAAAACCATTTATAATGATATACTTAGGATCATCTGGAGAAAAAATATGGCTAAGAGGACACATGTCAAAGCTCTGGGATAGGCCTATGTTTAAAGATTATCTATTAGTAAAAGAGCCAATAAAGAAGACTAGAGAAGGAATGATCAAACAGAAAGGAGAGTCAGGAGAAAGTGGAATCACTGAAACTACAGAAGAGAGGATTTCAAGAAGAGAAAATGATAAACACTATGTAATATTTCTGAGAGGTAAAGTAGGAGGAGGGTTGGAAAATGGTCACTTGGTCTGTATATGTGGAGATCAGTCATGATGCTTGTAACAAACATTTTCTTGGGGAAATTGAAAGAACCTAATGGATTAGAAGTAGTTGGTGATGAGGAATTGGAGGCAACCTGGGTAGCTGATCTTTTTCAGCAGTTTGGCCATAATGGAGCAGTAGGTTCAGTAGAATCAAATGAGGATCAACACAGGACTCTTCTTAGGTATGGGAGAAACATAGCATGTTAAGTGCCAGCAGAAAGAATCCTACAAAGATGTCAAGAGCCATGGAAGAGACAGAAATAATTGGTTACATAAACTTTCTAAGAATGAATGAAAGGGTAAAGTCTAGAGGACAGATGGAAATGGTTACTGACATAGGGTGCAGAATCTTCTACATCCCTAAAAGGAGAAGAGATTATTTAGTGAGTAGATACAGAGACAACACTTAATTTAGTGATAGGAGTCAAGGGTGGTGCTGTCTGATGAGGGGGGGCAGCAAGCAGAGGTATCAATGGATTGGGGGTTCTGTTCAGATCTGAGAACAACAGCCATAGGAGGAAGCAAACGGTTGGGTAGGAGGTTGTGCTCAGGTAATAAATGCTTAGATTGCAGTTTTGGAGATGGAGTAGTGTGTGTATGTAGATATGAGTGGCTGATGTAGGAGGATAGAGTCATGAAAAGATAGCCAAATATGGAATAGAGAAGAATGTGAGTAAAGGGCCAAAGCATTTACTGAAAACAGGCCTGACTAGGCAGCCAAGTCACGACAAGTGAGACCTGGTGATACTGCCAAATGGAACAAGGAAATGTAAGAAGGCAGGATAATGATGTTGGGATCTCTTCCAGTAAAGACTTCTGGTTGGGAACCCAACCTGTTCTGTCACAGGTGCAGAACCTAGGAGATATTCCTGAACCAGCAAGAGAATGTGTTTACCAACTGGCAAACAGAGAAGCATAACTAAATCACTTCTAAAGTAGGGCACACTGAACTTCCTATTTTCCTCTTCTAGATTTGGTGTTGGCCAGAAAGTAGATCATGTTTTGAAAAGCTTTTATTCCTAGGTTAGGAGTGTTTTGTCACAATGGTGAAAGGACAGGTGCAACTGTGAGGAGGAAGTGTACATTCCTGAAAATGTAAAATCCGTAAGTCCTGGGGATACACAGCAGGCCTGCGATGATGTCACATCACAGGTAGTTTTGTGAAAACTGAGTTTCAGTCTTGCCTACAGAGGATGATAAGGAGATGCTCTGGCTCTTGTACTGCTAGTTGGAAGAGTCCACTTACCTTTGACATTGAGTACCACCGTTTTACTGCGCTGGGTCTTCCCAACATTGCTGGCCTCACAGAGGTAGTTTCCAGAATGTTCTTCAGTGAGAAGGAATTTGAAGGATGCTCCCCCTCCAGAGGGGGATTGCCTGCTTCCCAACATGACATCCTCATGAAAAAAATGGTACACAATTGGTGGGGAGCCTCTCTGGGCCTCACATTGAAGTTCTATCATGTCCCCCACCACAGCTGGGACTCTGGGCACTTTGAAAATGATCAATGGGAGGGACACTGGAACTGAGGGAGAAAAAGAATTAGTTGAAACTGGTGTCATTTTTTAAAATTAAACATCTCCTCATTTTAAAAACTACAAAATTATATAAAGTAAGAGTGAAAGTTCTATCATTTCTTTTCTATATTTTTCATTTCCATATTTCATGAATATTTATTGATACTCTAGACCTTTTCTATGTATAAATACACTCACTCATATCAATACATAAACATAAAAATGTACAAATACACACTTTTCTATAACCTACTTTTTTTCCTTAGCAACAGGTCATGGACATCTTTTCTATTTTATTACTTGAGAATCTGCTTTACTCATTTTTTAAAAAATCATTTCATTGATCTACAATTTATACGCAATGAAACACAACTTTTTAAAATTTACAACTTGATAATTTTGTATAATATTAGCTGATTAATTTTTACCAGCCACAAAATATTCCATTGTACAAATTTGCCATAATATATTTAAGTAGTTCCTGATTGAGAGAGGTTTAAGTTATTGCCTTTTGAAAATTTTTGAATACTATGACATAAAATAATTCTGCAATATATCAGTGTTGGTTTGTGGAGCCATTGAGTGTGTGATTGTGTGTGTGTGTGTGTGTGTGCGTGTGTGTTTGTGTGTGAATGTTACTGGGAATTGAACCCATAGCCTTCACACTGAGATATATCCTCAGCCACTTACACTTTTTTATTTTGAGATAGGGTCAGACTAACTTGCCTAAACTGCTGTGCTTGGGTTTATGATTTATGCTTCAGCCTCTGAGAATGCTGGACTTACAGGTGTATACCACCATACTGCCTATGTGCATGTGTTTTTTGGGATAAATTCTTAGAATTTCTGGGATGAGTTAGATGAGTATTTTATACAATGATGTATAATGACAAATTATTCTTCAAAAAAGTTGATCCAATTAATACTTGCAATAGTGATAAATAGGAATTCTGTTTCTCCACTCCCTGATCAGTTAGGTTTGTTTTTATTGTTTATTTTCTTCTTGTACTCTTGATATCTGTGGTTGCTCTACTCAAGCAATTCAACTATTCTATTCGATGGAGTCCTACAGGGTACTAGTTGGTTTTTCATGCGACTTAGTGACTCATTAATGATGAGTTACATCTGAATTATCTATAAAATGGAAAAGTTGTAGGGCTGGAAGATATACAGTAACCAGTGGCACAGCAGTTTCCTAGCATACATAAAGCATTGGACTCAATTTCCAGAACCAAAACATAAATATGATGGAAAATTTAACTACTTATAATTTTTTACAAAACATACTTTCAGTTTTAATCAGCACATAGTAGTTGTACAAACTTATGGAGTGCAATGTGACATTTCAGTAATTAATACTGTGTGTAACAGTCAGATGAAGGTAACTGACATATCTGTCACTTCAGACATTTATCATTTATGAATTTTAAAATTATTAAGGTAATCCTTTTTAGTTGCTCATTATGAAATAATAATGAGAAAATATTTGTTCTTTGGCTTCCTCCTTCTGGCCACCTGATTTTTCATATATTTGCATTTTTTTGTCTACAGAGTACAATGGAACATTTCAGTAATGTGTATGATGTGTGATGATCATATTGGAGTAATTGCTATATCTCTTATTATTTTCTACTCTGTAGCCATAGATTTTACAATTAATTAGCTTTTGTTTTTAAATTGGTGGTTTCCAACCCTGTCCATATAATGTGTTCACCTAAAGATATGTTAGTAAATATTGTTTCTGAGATTCCCATCTGAGAAACTGAATTTAATTGACCTGGAACAGAGTTTAGTAATAGGGTTTACAAAGTTCCCAGGTGATCCTAACCTGTAGCCAGGGTTGAGGATCATCAATCTACATAAGTTCAGTATTCATTTTTATAACATTTTCCTCATTGTGAGTCCTACTGGATTTTCTCATGAAGTAATTTTTTCAAGAAAAATTAATGGCTAGTAAGTTTCTAAGTCCCTGTAATTTTGATAATGACTTTTGGAGTTACTGTAAACCTCCCAGTTCTCATTCCTCTCCAGGAAGTCCAAATCTGGCATCACACCTCTCTTCTTGACACAAGTACTATGCAAGTCAAACACTTACTTGATACTTTTCCTTTTCAAATGACTGCTTGTTTTTTAATTGTTCTCTCTTTTGCTCTCTCTCTCTCTCTCTCTCTCTCTCTCTCTCTCTCTCTCTGTGTCTTCCTTCCCCTCTCTCTTTCACATACATGCACACTCTTTTTTTTTTTTTTTTGTCTTTTTTTTCATTTTTATCAGTACCAGGGATCGAACTCACGACTGCCTGCTTGCAAGGCAGGCACTTATGCTGCTGAGCTAAATCCCCAGCCCCTCATGCAATGCACACACTTTTAACTTTGAATTTCAAGAATCTTATTAAGTTATATCTTCTAGTTTACAAGGTCGAATTTCCTTCACTTTGGGAAAACAATCTTGATTGCATTTCGAATTTCATTTTTCTCCTCAGTTTGGTTTACTAACTTACAGATATTTGATTATCCAAACTTGGAGATTTTGTCCAAATTCCATATCATGAATTTTCCCTTATTTCTTTGATTTTCTATCTTGCATTCTGTATTATTAAATTCATTCTTCATTCAGTTAATAGTTTTCAGAGGTATACTAGTCGTACTGCTTCAAATTTAGGTTTTATTTCTAAGATAGCTTTGTTATTTTCTCCTGAGCGCTTCTGGATTATTTTTCAATCTCTTCTTATCTTATCATTTCTTCTTTGAACCATAATACCTTTTTGTGCATATATATAAATATACTATTTAGTTTTACATATATATTCTTTAGTTATATTGGGAATATCCAAAAGAATTTGGTTAATTTTTTTTTGTTTCTGTAGCAATTCTTCTTTATGAAAACATTATGTGACCTTCTTTTCTCTTTATATATTTTTTTCTTTTTAATGGTAAAGTGTAACTGTACAAAAATATAGCATATTGTGTGATTTTTCAGTACATGTACACAATGTATAATGATCAAATCATGATAACTTATTTATCCATCACCTCAAATATTTTTCATTTGTTTTGAGAACATGCAATATCCCCTGTACCATTTTAAAATATGTCAATTCTAGTTTTTCCACTAATATTCTGCAGAACACTAGAAGTTATACTTCTAGCCCCATTGTACCCCTGTACCTATCACCTTTTCTCTGTTCTGCAACTCCACATAATGTCCTTTATTTGTCTAGTTTTGCTTTTGTTAGCGTCTCTTTTGAAGTCTTAGCCAAAAAAAAAAATGGAATTATATTAAAGCAAATACTTCTGTACAGCAAAGGAAACAATGGAGTGAAAAGACAACCTGAAGAATGGGAGAAAAACTCATCCCCCTGACAAGGAATTAATATATAGAATTTATAAATAACTTGACAGCAGAATAATGAAATAATCCCATTAAAAATAGGCAAATGACTTAAATAGGTATTTTTCAAAGGAAGACATATAAACAACTAACTAATAAGTATTTGAAAAATGCTCAACATCATTAATCATCAGAGAAGTTCAAATTAAAACCATGAGATAGCATCTCATTGTAGTTACAATGGGTGTTATCAAAGAGAAAAAATAACAAGTGGTAGTGAAGATGTAGAGGAAAAAAAGGAAATTCTCATACACTATTAAAGGGAATATAAACTAGTTTAGGTTTCATAAAAAACTAAAAATGGAACTACACCATCCATCAATTTCACCACTATGTATACATCCAAAGTAGAGGAAATCAGTATGTCAAAGGGACTTCCCTTTGTAATTTTAAATGCATTTATGCAAAGATACCTGAATTGGGGATTTTTTTTTTAGCACTGGGGCTTGAACTCAGGTCCTTCACATTGAGCTACAACATCAGTCCTTTGGTCATTTTTTTTTTTTTTTTTTTTTTTTTTGAGACAGGCTCCTGCTAAATTGCCTGTGTTAAGTGAGAACTTGTGATACTCCTATGCCACTCTCCCAAAAAGCTGGGATTATAGGAATGTGTGACTTGGGACTAATTTCTCATTGAATAAAGTCATATTCAAGTTTTTCTGAGAAAACTGCTTGTGTGTATGCATTTCAGTGACCTCCTGGCTGTTGATAAACTCAAAAGTCTATGTATTGGGACATATTTGTATAAAATCTCTCCAGGTCCTCTGTTTGGATCACATTCCTTCAAATAAAGGAGATTATCTCTTAAAAAAATGTGTAGGACTCAGTGAAGTTTGTCAGCTTGCAGAAAATCTATTCACTAATTTGGGATTTAATTTACCCACATATTTTCCTACTACGTTATCTTCCCAAAAGAGTTAAGGACATTATATTTCAATGATATATGTATGCCTAGGTTTATAGTAATGTAATTCATAATAGCTAAACCTTGGATGTGGCCTGTATATCCATCAACAGATGAAAAGATAAAGAAAATATGGCATTTACATGGTGCAGTAGTACATTGCCATAAAGGGATAAACCTAAGCCATTTGTAGGAAAATGAATGTACCTTGAAACTTTAATGCTAAGTGAAATGAATCAGAAACACAAACTTAAATGTCATATAGTTATTCTCATGTGGGAAACCCAAAATATGAATAAAGAGAAAAAGAAAGGTAGATAATAGGAAGTAAGGAGATGGATCTTTTGCAAATGCTAAGGGAATCAAGAAATAGAGGGAAGGGAGAAGAAACAAAGGGCAATTGATGAAAAAAAGAATTGAGACGTGTTTGGTACAGGTCCCAGCTTATAATCATTATGTGCTGAAAACATGTACTAGTAAGAATTAAAAATGGAAGAAAGGATTTCATTTATTTCTGCTCACTTCCTGCATAAGAGGCTGCAAAGACAAGCCCTTCCTCCTTCTTTATCTCAGCTCACAGCCTCATTGAACTGCAAATGCTGACTGGCAACCTGATTCATGCCATGCTGGGAGTGGACAGAAGTGGGGAAGACTTGCCTGCTTTTGAGAAATGTGCTAGATTGAGAGGCGTCTCCTTTTTTTAATCCATTAATCTGGCTGATCTGACTTTCTAGTTTTCCTTATTCCTGAAGTAGCCTTAAGATAAATCCCTCTAGGACACCGGGGCCTTATTTTCTTGTGATGAAAAACAATCTGACACACTAGACTTAAGGACTTTTCTATCTTACCATTCTGGTTCTTGGAGAAGAAAACTGGACTTTCACTTTCTAAGAAAACAGAGATCTAAGAGTAAACAGAAGAGACACTGCCCCTCAAGTGACATCTTTTTAATGGTTACGTGGTTAACCATGATTACACACTTGTGATTCAGACACTTTTCTGAATGTAAGCCTTCTTCAACAAACATTTTAAAAGAGCATGCAAGGAGATCATGAAAAGCTTGAGGAGCAGATTTCTGGGGAACACTTCTTTCCTTTCCTCTCACCTTCAGGCTCCCCAGATTTAATATGAGAACCATGTTTTCTGAGAACTCTGGAAAAATCACAGCAATGCCCAGAATTTGTCCATTTGACTATGTTGTAGTTAAATTAATGTGTAAGGCTTAGTGCTTCTGTGCATCAGGAAAAGCAGGCCTGGAGACTGAATGGAAAATAAATGTGCTCACCAAAACAGGGGAGCCTGCTACACAAGTGTGAGTTGGGAAAGGCTGGAGGAAAAGTGTGGCCCAGAAAGAGCAAGGGCTCAAGAGCAGGACACAAGAAAGGACAGCATAGGGGCAACCACTGTGGAAGGTAGGAACAGACATCTGATGGGACTGATATGAGAAGGCACTGGTTGGTCAATGTAGAGATAGGAACCCAGGTCTTTTTTTTTAATCCCCAGTCCCCCCCCCCCTTTTTTTAAAATAGGAACCCAGGTCTTACCAATGACAGAGAGGCTCATGGTATTACTGCGCTTGGAGCCAAATCCATTATCTGCTGTGCAGTAGTAGTTCCCAGAGTGCGCTTCTGTTAGAGAGAATCTGTAGGATGTTCCAACACCACTGTGCACTGTGCTTCTATCTAAGAGGGATGTCTCAAGATAGAACTGGTACAGGATGGGGAGAGAACCTCTGTGGGCTTCACAGTGAAGTGTCAACACGCTTCCCTCAATAGTCTGGGCTTCAGCAGGGTAGAAGGTTAAGATCGGCTGGGACACTGGGACTGAGGGAGACAAAATGAGCCCAAAGTCACTCTTGCTTCTTACCACAGATTTCAATCTGCTTCCAGTGCACATGCTCAGACCCCAGTCTCCACCAGCTCTCCCAGTATCTCAGCAGCCTCCCAGGCTCCTCTCTCCACCTGTCTCCTGTCCTTCTTGTTGATCTTTCTCTGGCTGCTCCTTTCCCTCAGGTCTCTCACTTTTCCCTTCTGGCTTCCTTGCTAGGTGACCCCCTTTCCTGTTGTAGAGCGATAACACCCTCAGTGAAGAAGCCCCTTAGATTTATACCAACCAGATCCACAACCTTCCTGCACCAGCATTTTATCCTTCCCTTTGCCCTGTGACCATGGAGGAGCTTTTCCCCATGCCAAACTAAATATCAAGCAGAGAAGGTGGTGTCTATATTTTAACAGACCTTTTTTGGACAGATGTTCATATGATTTTTTTTTTTTTTTTTTTTTTTTTTTGGCCAGGTTGCTTGCAGTGATCACTGTGTGATCCTGTGTTTCTAGCAGAGTTTTGGTGAAAAGTTCTTGTCCTCAGGTACAAGGACACCCTGGCTTTAATTATTTATGTTGTCTAGGATTTGACAAAACAAGTCCATTTTGATTCTGCCAACTTTCACTTCTTCTTGCTCAGAGTGGGTTCCTCTCTATCTTATGACTCTGCCCACCAGAGACTCTGACCTGGATGTTAAATCCCATCTGCCTGTATTGTTTTCCTGCAGACACCATCTGATTATATAATCCTCTCCATATTAGAAAACAATGAAACAACACAAAAGCAGTCATGCTATTGTAATCAATAGCAAGATTATCAAGATGTAATCAATAGAAGATTAATATCTTCCCCATAGTATCTTTTTCCTCTTTTTTATGGGCAGAATTCTGGAAAGAATGCCCTGCTTTCAAAGGTTTCTCTTCTCTTCCAAACAGTCATTTTATGTCCTGTGCACCTCTGTCATTAGCCCACCCAATCTACTGAAGTTGATATTTCTGGCTTATGAATACTGTCATGGTAAGAATAATAATGATAATGAAACACACTTCTTGTGCTGATAATGCAGTGCTTCTATATGTCTGGTACACATGCCTACTTTTCATGTACAGTAGCTATACATATGTAGACTGAAACTATTCCTTAAAGTATTTCCATGAGCTAGGTCTTAGTGTTTCTCTTTTGTAAATGTAACTGAAGTTCAAAAAGGATAAGTCTTAAACCAGGAAGTGATGAGACACCAAGCAAATCCTGGTTTTCTAGTTAGAGTCTGTGTGTGGTGTGTGGCTAAATTCAGTGTGTGTGGTTGGAATCTTAGTTTTCAGCATCTCCAAGCTCAGCCTCATCCAAATTGGCTGCTTTCTTTTGCGTAAGGCACTTGTTCCTCTGGATTCTGGGGACATGCTCTCCTACTGTCTCTTTTCTCAGCCAGGATTTTTCTTGGTGTTCTTTCTCCTGAACAGGTCCTGACTTGGGAGTTCTCCTGGCCTGGACACATTCTTGGGTTCTCAGTTCAACTTGTGGCTACTCCCCATATGGCTGCTGTATGAACTTCCTTCTAAGGTCTGAGTCCTTTTCCACAGTGCTAATCCTCTTCATGGATCCTACTTAGTTGAATTAAGACCAATCCTTGATGGTACATCCTTGATGGCTTCTCCTCCTGCCTCATCCTGTCTCTCATACCCTTTCATTCTATGTTGCTGTCTGCACAAACAAACCTCCTGTCAGATCCCTGACTGTTTCCTGCACTCTCCTCACAATGCTTTAGCATATGATTTCACATGGTGCACAGCCCCTTTCTTCTCTTCCCCATCTCTTCCTCCTCTCTCTTCCAGAAGTGCTTCCATTGCCCCTTAGGTTTCACCTCTCACATGAACTCTCCATCCAGCAAATCTCTCACCTCTCAGGATGCCTTCCCATTTGCTTCCACAGTTACCAGGTATCTCTAGTCTTCAGGTTGGTGTTTGTCCACTGATTCATGTGTAACTGGCACTAGATCCTAAGAAACTCTGTGTACATAACTACATGGTCACCCCGAGACATCTTTTATGTTAGTACCCTCTGCGTTTCATGGCATACATGTGTTATAGCTAGATAAACACACAGGCCAGTGTACAGAACTTCTAACATGTCTAAGATCACTCAATAACGATGTCACTCAATAAAGGCTTCCTTACTTCTGAATATTGAAAACACAGCTCTGTGGTCCCTCCCATGTGATGTTCTGATCTTTTCCCGACTTCCCTAATCTTTTCCTTTATAACACAATGTACATGCATTGTGTGATGGGCTGGGTTGTGGGAAAAAGTTGACATCCAAGTCTCAACTGAAAGATTTTAATATAATGACTTGAAAGTTACGTTAGTAGTTTTCCAGGGATAAAGTTAACCAAAACTTTCCTAACCTGCTTCCAGCTCCTGTCCTGTCTGTGTGTGCTGTACATCACTGCCCTGTCTAGCCTAGAAAATGGACTTTTGCAGAGTAACGGTGATCCCATAACTCCCTGCGTATCATATGTTCACCCACAGTTACTATCAAATGCCTATCTGTGGATCATATGTTCACCCACAGTTACTATAAAATGTTACAAGAACAAAAGGGAACTTTTAGTCTCTGGGAGCTGATGGTTTGACTGGACCTTTGCACTGAACTAGTTGCCCAATTCTGTTCTGTATTTTAATTTTGAAACAGGGTCTTTCTAAATTCCTAAATTTCTCACACCAGGATTGGACTTGCAATCCTTCGGCCTCAGCCTTCCAGAGTACTAACCTTACGGTGATGTAGCATCATGCCCATTTTGGTACTGATTTTTATATACACTAAGAACAACCTAATGAGTGAAAACCTGCCATCTGAGAACCCGTAGGTTAAGCAGAGAGGGGGAGTCAAACACTGGGTTGTTTTAGAAGGTGGGTGTGAGGAGACAGAGCTGCTGAGCAGACATCCAGTGGTAGAATGGTGCCCGGCTACTCAAGGAGTAAGAGAGATGGCTGCTCAGATGAATCAGGGAGTAGAGAGGATAGAGAGCTGCCCCAGGAAGAAGAAGAGGAAATTGGAAGATGGGAGCATGTTTCCAACAGTGTTTAGCCAACAGTGGAGGTGTGAGGAACCCCAGGGCTTACCAGTGACAGAGAGGCTCACGGTATTACTTCGCTTGGAGCCAAATCCATTATCTGCTGTGCAGTAGTAGTTCCCAGAGTGCGCTTCTGTTAGAGAGAATCTGTAGGATGCTCCAGTGTCACTGCGTGTTGAGCTTCTAGGCAGAAGTAATTTCTCACGATAGAACTGGTACAGGATGGGGAGAGAACCTCTGGGGTCTTCACAGTGAAGTGTCAACACGCTTCCCTCAACAGTCCGGGCTTCAGCAGGGTGGAAGGTGAGGATCGGCTGGGACACTGGCACTGAGGGAGGCAAAATGAGCCCAAAGTCACTCTTGCTTCTTACCACAGATTTCAATCTGCTTCCAATGCACATGCTCAGACCCCAGTCTCCACCAGTTCTCCCAGTATCTCAGCAGCCTCCCAGGCTCCTCTCTCCACCTGTCTCCTGTCCTTCTTGTTGATCTTTCTCTGGCTGCTCCTTTCCCTCAGGTCTCTCACTTTTCCCTCCTGGCCTCCTTGCTAGGTGACCTCCTTCCCTCTTGCAGAGCAATAACACCCTCAGTGAAGAAGCTCCTTAGGTTTATACCAACCAGATCCACAACCTTCCTGCACCAGCATTTTATCCTTCCCTCTGCCCTGTGACCATGGAGGAGCTTTTCCCCATGCCAAACTAAATATCAAGCAGAGAAGGTGGTGTCTATATTTTAACAGACCTTTTTTGGACAAATGTTCATATGAAAGTATTTTTATTTCCAGGTTGCTTGCAGTGACCACTCTGTGGTCCTATGGTCCTGGCAGAGTTTTTGGTGAACAGTTCCTGTCTTCAGGTACAGATGTTGAGGTCCCCTTCTTAATAACCCCCTGGCTTGAACTGCTTATGTTGTCTAGGATTTGACAAAACAAGTCCATTTGATTCTGCCAAATTTCACTTATGCCTGCTCAGAGTGGGTTCCTCTTTTCTTGACTCTCTACCCACCAGCCTCTGACCTGGGTGTGAAATTCCATCTGCCGTATTGCCTTCCTGAAAACACCATCTGATTGCATAGTCCTCTCCATATTAGAAAACAATGAAACAACAGAAAACCAACCTTGCTTGTGCTTAATCTTCCCCATAGCATCTTTCTCCTCTTTTTCTATAGAGATATTTCTGGATAAAGTCCCCTTTTTCTTTACTGACACTCTTTTAATCTCCTGTGCAACTTCATCATACCCCAACCCATCTATTAAAGTTGATATTTCCTGTTTATGTATACAATCACAATAATGAAACATACGTCTTATACTGATAATGTAGTGTTTCTATGGATCTGACTGTTATACATGCCTTACTGGTCATATGTAATTTATAGCTATATATATGTAGACTGGAGCTATTCCTTGAAACATTTCCATAAGTCTTAATGTTTCTGTTTTACAAATGCATGAACTGAGACTCAAAGAGGTTAATTCATAAACCAGTAAGTGATAAGACATCAGTCAAATCCTGGTATTCTAGCTATAGTCAGTTAAGCTAAATTCAGTGTGCATGGCTTGACTCTTAGCTTTCATCATCTCCAGCCCAGCTTCATCTGAATTGGCCACCATCTTTTTCATAGGGTGCTTGCTTCCCCTGGATTCTGATGTGCACACTCTCCTAATGTCTCTCTGACCTAGGTTCCTTCTCTTTCTTTCTCCTGGATGGCCATTTTGATGAGTAGTAGAGAGGACAGTAAGCTGCTTCAAGGAAGAGGTGGAGGAAACTGGAAGGTGGGAATATATTTCCAGCAGTGTCAGGGATGAGGCAGAATCCAGGCAGCGATGGGGGCATGAAGAAACCCAGGGCTTACCAATGACAGAGAGCTTCAGGACCTTGCTGCGTTTGGGGCCAAAGCCGCTGTTAGCTATACAATAGTAGTTCCCAGAGTGCTTTGCGGTCAGAGAGAAGCTGGCTAGTATTGAACTGGTTTTTGTCTCCCACAGGACTGTATCTTCATGCAAAAACTGGTACAAGATCTCAGGAGAACTTCTGTCAACCTCACAGTTTAAGATGATCTGTTGTCCCTCCACAATCTGAGTCTGCCTAGTCCTGGCGGTGAGAACTGGCTGGGATATAGGCACTAGGGGGAGGAAAATGAGTAACAGTCACTTCTGCATCTTCTCACAAATTTCAGTCAGTGGCCAATGCCAATGGCCAGAGTCCAGTCTCAACTGGCTCTCAGGACAGTTCAGCAAACTCCCAGGCTTCTCTCACCTCCTGTCTCCTGTCTCTTCCCCTGGCTGCTCCTTTCCCATCAGACCTCCAGCCCCTTCTCTCCTAGACACCTTGTTAGGTGACATACTTCCCTTTTTCAGACAGATGATACCATCAAGGAAGCAGTCCTTTATATTGCTGCCACCAGACCCACAACCTTGTTGCACCAGCCTCTTGCTCTTTCCCTTTGACCCATGACTATGTAAAAGCTGTCTTTCACCTCCATATATTTGTGAGAATTTGTCCCTCTCTGTTCTTGGAGCTACCTCATGGTTCAGCTTTGACCTATTATCGAAAGCATGTGTTCTTCCAGGGTCCTCTCTTCTGCTATGTTCCTTTCCCTGAACTCAAACTGACCCTCTCTATTTACTTGAAACTTAGGGTGAGACAATGTCTGTAGATGGAGTTTCCAGCCTGTGAGGTAGCACACACCCTCACCCTCACTGTGACTTGTGGTGATTAGAGCTCACTGGTGGTAGAGAGTGGCTTCTACTACTGGCTATGTTCCCGGGCCATCGTCTGGGCACAGACATCGTCTCTAGAATGCTCTTGAGCAAAGAAATGTTGAGGGAGCCCCCTCTCTTGGGGCCTGTGTTCCTCAGTGTGTCAGCCTTATAACAACACTGATAAGGACAGGGGAAGAGCTTCTGAGGCTCCACAGTTGAGCTCTGCTATATCCTCCGTGGCAAATTGTGCTATGGTAGCTCTGGCAAGGAGACAATGATGTGCCACTTGGAACCACAGACAGGGAGGCCATCAGTGGGGGTTCTGAAACTCTTTCAATTAAGAGGATTTAAGAGACATGGTCCTAAATCAGTCCTGGTTCCAATATCCTATTTGCTCTAACTTTATTCTCTTAATCACTGAGCATTTTTAAAATCTCCATTTCAGGCAGGCCTGGTGGTGCATGCCTGTAATATCAATACTCCTGGTGGCTGAGGTGGGAGTATTCTACATGTCTGATGCCAGCATAAGCTACATGGAGTAAGTTCAAGGTCAGCCTGAACTGTATAGCAAGACCCTGCCTCAAAGAACAAAAATAACCCCATCAAACAAAAACCAAAACAGAATTCTATTTCTGCACTCTCTTCTACTCCTTTGTCCTGCTCCTCTTTAACTCACTCCTGGCAAGTTGTTCAAAACAGTAAATCATTAACAGCAGTTAATATTCACTGTCATTACCTATGCTCTGCAACAGGGATCCCTGAGTACGGGCTGATAGCCTAGTCCTCAAATGACATGCGGCAGAACATAACATACCTCTCACTTTGATGGTCACTGGCTTGCTGGTAAAACTTCCAGCCCTGCAGTAATACTCCCCTGCATCACTGTTTTTCACTGAAGCGATCTTGTATTTTGCTCCTGAGGATAGGTACCCCCTTTTTTTATACCAGTAGAAATTCATGTTCTTTGGATTCCTATCTACTGAGCAGATGAGCAGCAGCTCCTGCCCTTCGGTGACAAACTCTGTGGCTTTTTGGACTTCGGCAACTCCTGAATAAATAAAAATGAGAAGTCTGGGAATACTGGCAGTGGTGTGCTGCAAGACGGAGAAGAATCGTGAGATGGGAAGGGCAAAGTCTGCTGGTCTCATGTGAGAAGCTGGACTTAGACTTGCCTTAGGAAGAGGGAGTCTGCGGTCCCTGTGTTACTGCAGGGGCCCTCTGTTCTCTCAGGGTCTTGGGGAGAGTCGGGAGTAGGAATAGAGGCAACCTGCTATTCTAATCTGTGATGACATGGTTTAGGGCAATGCTGCCAGCATAGCACAGTGCCTTTCAAGCTATCCTTAGGTTCTGGAAGAATAAATGAAGATAACTGAACAGAAGAGGAGAATGGCTTGCAGTCGGGGTTCCATAGTTAATGCTGTGGGGGGAGGCTGTGCTAGAAATTATTGTGTTGTAATTGTTGGTTAACACTTTCTCCATCTTCTGTAAATCATTTTTCTTTAAACCCAAGACCTTAGAAACATCTGCTTTTTATAGTTGCAGAACACAGTAGTAGAAATAAGCAAGTTTAGAAAAACAGCCAGGTGCAATGGCGCATGCCTGTAATCCCAGTACTCAGGAGGCTGAGGCTGGAAGATCACTGAAAGCTTGAGACCAGCCTGAGTTATAATCTGAGCTCAAGGCCAACCTTAACTGCATAGCAAGACACTGTCTTAAAAAGACAGAAGAAAAACAATTATAAAGCTACTGCTTTTTCCTTAAAGATGGGAGTAAGTTTATCAGAAATACTCATTTTTACCTCTTTCTTACTCAGGAAAATAAGCGCCCTCCTCTGTGTCCCTTGGTAACTCTCAAATAGATTTCTCAAGAGACAGACCAGGTTCCATGAGGGAAAACATTTGACCACTGGCTAATAGTCATGCTTTAGAACCTATACAATTTCAGAAATTTAGGAAAAAGTGATAATGGGTGTGGTTCCATCTGTAGGGATATCAGTTTTTTTTTTTTGTACCAGGGAACAGGTACCAGGTCGAACTCACGACCTCATGCTTGCCAAGCAGGTACTTATGCTCCTGAACTAAACCCGCGGCCTCTGGGGATATCAATTTGGAAGTGTTTCTTTCCTAAAGTTTTGTCCTTTGGTTTTCTTGTCCTGAAATTGTCTGTTCCAGGCATCTGTAGTTGCAGGCGTCTGCTCACCTGACTGAGCAGGGTCTGTCCAAGCTAGTCAGAGGACTCTGCCAGAGCACACAGTTTATGTCTGCTGGCCTAGGAGGAACCAAGGTGTGTCAAGGGCTAGAGTTTTCTGAGTGAAAACAAAGGGTGGTATCTAAGAGCATTGAAAGGAAACACTTTTTTTTCTTTTTTACTTTCCTCATTCTAAGCTCTCCGAAGGTATCCACAAGAGTCAGGGTGTTATCATGCAGCTCCGTTTCTCATAGTATAAGGACCAATTTCCACATGGACCAGTGGCCCAAAGTGATACGTGATTCTGGGGCACTGTTTCATACCTGTTCCTGGAAAATCTCAGAACTTAAGGATACTTACTTTGCTCATAAATTTGGGATATTTGGCTCTCTTTCCAAATACCAGAAGTCACGTCTCCTGCCTTGCACTGGTAGAAACCTGAATAGTGAGGCCATATGGCAGAAATCTGGAGTCCTGGGTTGTTGCTGCAGCCTGACTCCAGGGACTGGTTATTTCTGTAGAAGCAGAACTGGAGGATGACATTTGACTTCTGCGGAAGGATCTGGGTCTTACAAGACAGGGTCACTTGATTGCCATGTGTGGACTCAGAGAGGCTGTCTGTCAGCACAGGACGTGAAAATAACTCTAGAGAGAAGGATCACAACAGTCCCTGGAGCAATGAGGCTTGGGATGCTCTGGAGAAAAACACAGTTGTTCTCAGCACCACCAAGTGGAGCTGTGGGGTTGCTATCTTCCATCAAAAGCAACCAAGCAGGGGAGTTGTGGCCGCGCCATGTTGGATTCTTAACCTTCTTCAACAACACTCTTGCACTTTCTCTCAGTGTATCTCAGCCCACCTCCCTCTTTTTCTTCCTCCTCTACCATCCCAAGGACGCCTGCTCTCACTCCCCCATTCACAGAATAATGAATGCTTTACCTTGGACTTGGATTTTCACTCTTTTGGAAACAACTGGCTCGTGATTACTTTTCTTAACTCCCATACAATGATAGTTACCGCTGTTCTCCAGACTTGCTCTGCGAATGTTGAAGTCATTGTTTTCACCAAGTAATGCCAGTAATTCACCATTCTTATAAATTTCCATATTTTCTAGTTCTGTTCCTGCCCTTGCCAGGCACCTTAGATTCACAGAGTCTCCTTCAAACACAGAAAGTGGAGTTTGCAGGATCAGTGTAGCTGTGGGAAACAAATAGTTATATATTTATTCTGTTGTTTCCTCTTTCTTTTTGCTATTTTAAGTAGATTGTACAGAAAGGAGATTAGGAGAAGAATTAAAACAAGCATCATTTCCTTTTTTCTGATTTTGAGATAAACACATGTACCCTGAGAAAAGCTGGAAAGCAGAAATATACGTAAAAGTACTTATCCCCTCAAACCCCATCGTCTTGACATGCATTTTCCCAGTTTTCTCTTCCAGGTGCAGGTACATGACTATCTCTGCGTATCTTTATTTTTTTGTGTGTGCTATTGGGATAATATTTATGTATCCAAAGACTTGCTTTTCACTTTCTATACTATGATTACTTTCCTACGTCACTAATACCATTATTGAACTAGATTTTTTAATGGGCTCAAAGTTTTGTTTCAATGGCAGCAACATACTTTATTTGATGAATCTTATATTTTTTCCTTTGAAACAAAGTTATTTAGGCTGGCCTCAAACTTGAGATCCTCCTTCCTCAGCTTCCCCTGTAGCTGGGATTACTGGACACCACCACAACCAACTTGAATCTTCTTTCTTTGCTCATTTAGGGTACTCTGTTTTTAAAGTTGTATATATATATATATATAATTGTTTCAGTAGGTAAATGTGTAAGAGAGGAATTGTTAAGACAAAAAGCATAAACTTTTTTCTCATCTTGCTGCTATTTTGCTTCCTTGTTCACAAAATTAAAGGGCATTATGACCAAGATGATAGACTTCAAAACAAATAGTTATAGTGCAACAAATGAAATGCCTCTTTTTTCTCTATATATGTTGATTGTATCAGTTAATCTATCTCTATCTACCTATCATCATATATCTGCAACTATAAATATGAAAATTTTCATGGGACCTATCATACCCAATTTTAAGCAATTTAAGTATGACTTAAATCCATACATCTCATCTTAATGTATAGGAACCACTCAAAAGAATTAATTCTCAAATTTCTTTTTACCTGAGGAGCATGTAAAACACAGATTTGTGGGACCTACTTTCACACATTTTGATTCAGTAAATATATGATAGGTCCTGAATATCGGTATGATTAAAAGCTGCCTAGGCTTTATATGTCAGACCAAATTTTAAGAAACACAGATTTAGATACATCAGTTCATTCCATAGAAACCACACTGATCTGGGTGTGCTGCAACGAACCTGTAGTTCCAGCCCTCTGAGAGGCTAAGGTAGGAGGACTGAGTATTTCAGCCTATCCTGAGAAACTTAGCGACATGGCAAAATACTGTTCAAAGTAAAAATGTAAAAACAGAGAATGTAGAATTTCTAGGTTAAATGCCCCACACACACCCTTTCTCACACATGCACAAATCAGTTTAGTGTTTGGCTCATCCACAATATTAGTTGCATGACAATTACATCTTTAGGATGCCCTACTCAAAGTCACTGCCCATCGTCCTGGATGAGTTTTATCTAGAGGATTTAAACTTTCTTGATTTTTATGTTTAAATGTCAGAAGGTAATTCTATTGCCTATCTGGCTTTATACCAAATTATTTAGCTCCTCGTCTGCAGGCTGTAGTGTAAAATAAAATCGTTCACTCGTAACATCTGAAGGAAATAACGGTGACAGCTAGAAAGAAAACTGGGCCAAAATTATTCATAAAGCTTATTTCTATTTTTTTCCTGACCTTTAGTAAAATCCAGGTGCACAGGGTCACTCAGAAGTGATGTGCCAACTCTGCAGCTGTATTTTCCCGATTGATAGACATCCAGGGTGTTTCTGGTTTCCGTTAATGGGCTCTGTCCATTGTACCATTGTGTTTTCTTTGGTGAGGAAGATCTAAACCCATTGCAAGTCAGACTCACTGTGTCTCCTTGAAACACAGGGGTCCAAGGAGGGTGAAGGGAGATCACAGGCTTGGGTGTAGTTGCTGAGAAGGAGAGAGAAATGGGTTTGAGATAGAGGTGGCTGTAGTCCCAGGTGCAGATGTTCTATGAATAGATGGGAGAACATGGCTCTGGAGGACCGTCCCTCGGAGATCCTCTGAGAGGGTCACTCATGACTTATGGCTGCCTGCCAGTCAGCAGCACTCACTTCCTCCAATGGAGAGGGATTGTTTGGGAGATGCTAATGCACAAAATCGTGTTAAGGGAGTGACAAATGGTATTCATTGTCATGTTCAGCCTTAGTTAGGCAGTTGTGTAAATAAATTCTAGAGAAAAATCACCCCTGCCTCTGCCACCTCATCCTGTTCCTAAACTCAGAGGAACTTACATAGGCACTGATAAAATCACAATTTTGCATTTTCCTAAAACAATCAGTAATTTCATCATAAGATTTTGGTACTGAGATGAGAATGAGAGATCACCTTGTCTAATGGCTTCATCTTATAACGGATAATTCACATACCCAGAAAAATCCCAACTGTATCTAATTATAACAGCAAGAAATGGACAAGTCTTCTTCTAGAATCCAGAGGTGACCTGGACAAGGGTCCAGATGGGGCAGCTCGTTCTGCTGGAGAAGAAGAGGCATTGTGGAGTATTCTTGCTATTTATGTGCCCCCAAATACCCAAGACAATCTGACCCAGAATAAAAGCAGTGAATCAGAATTCAAAAACTGTGTGGTACTGAAGTTTGTCTTCTCCCTAGTCTCATCTTTTCATATATTTCTTCCTTGTAAGGACTTAGTTATTAGATATTCCACTCCTCAGGCATTTCTTGGAGGATTTCAGTACTAAAACTGGCATCTCCATCATGTATATTTTCAGTTGAGTTTTTCTGGCTTGCTGATTGACAGGATCTATCCCAAATCCTGCATGTTTACCATGAAGTTGAAGGTGTCCTACCTAGCTAAGTGGGGTTCATTTGCATGAGAAATAAGTACAGGGCCTAGAAACTGTCAGTGTGCTCACCACAACACAGAGGGAGGTAGAGGTTGACTATAAAGCTACCCTGACTCTTGGTCAGTTCCAAGAGATGAGGCATCACTTCCACATCCCTGATCAGCTTAGCAAGACAATGGAAGATGTTAGGGATTCTCAGGAAACCATCACAAATATTTTAGGTGAGGGAGACACTGTTATCCAGAGATGCAGAAGAGCAAAAGAAAGGAAAACTCACCAAATTGTCCACTGGCGGAAGCTGCAAAAGAAAGAGAGCCTGACATGAGCACTGAGCAGGGCTTCTTTGGCTTTTCAAAGATGATACATTTCTCCCATCCTTTTTCTATGCTTTTTTATTGAAAAATTCATTTGTAAACTACAAATGATTATTTATCAAATATCTGTACATTCTAAGACATGGTGCTTACATTTCTAAGATAAATGAAATATGGTATCTGCTAGCAACAACAATTTGACTGGTACAGGAAACAGAAACATGATGCAAAGTAATATAATGTAAACATGATGCCCAGTGCTTTAATCAAAATGCACATGGGTATCTGGAGCGTAGAAGGGTCACTCTGTGTACAGAGTGTTTGTGTGTACTGAAGAGAAAGGGGAGAGGACTGCGGAAGGTGCCTGAAGGAGGCAATGCTTGAGAAAACAGCAAATGAGAACATAGGCATTGGCCAGGGGAGGGTTAGAATTTGTGTGTGGCAAGGGAGGATAGCGAAGGAAATCAAGGCAGGAAGGCACAGAAGTTACGATAGGACACTGAAGCTCAAGAGCTGCAGGAGTCTAAAATTTAAGGAGTCATGGGAAAAATAAGACTAGAAAAGAATGTAGGGACCAAGTAAGTAGCTCCCATTTTATAAAAGCCATGGAAAGATTTAAAAGAGTGTGACGCAGTTAGAATTGTCAGTTTCCATGGAGCTCTCTGGCAGAGAGCAGCCTTCAGTGAGACAAAATGGGCAGCGCCTTAGATCACATGGTGAGGGATGATAATAGTAAATTTTCTGTAGTGTTTATCTGAGATTTTCTGAATTATTTACTTGTTTACTGTTCGTGCTTTTTAAACATATTGTTTCCCTCTTTGCAAGAGTGCAAGCCCTATGAGATCAGGAATTTCTCTTAGGTTCACTAGGTAATTCTTCAGAACCTACAAAAGTCTCTAACATATAAAAGACATTTTATAAATATTTGCTTATTGAAAAAATGAATCAATGAAAGAGCTAGGTTAGAAAGAGTTGAGATAGGAAACAAACTTGAAAAATGAATATTGAGGGAGAAAAGAGGCAAATTGACATTAATAAATTATATATTTATTGAACAAAAACATAAATAAAACCTTAGATGTTATGAACACTATAAATTTGGACACTTTTTTTGGCTATCATCATTTCAGTTCTAAGAAAGGAAGCCACGAACTACATAGTAAAATCTGAAATTACAGTTTCCTTATGTGGGAGAAACTCTCCGAGCAAGGGAGTCTGGGCCCCACAGTCAGGACAGGTCCGTGGTGGAGAAAGAAGCTGCCCCAACTGCACCAACTCCATGTCAAGCCCTCTACTCACCCAGGACCAGTAGTGTTGCCCACAACAACATGAAGACTGGAACGACCCACTGCTGAGACCAAAAGAGAAGTTTTCACAAAAGTATCAGATTTGATCTTGATCTGATAGTCAGTACAGTGTTCACATCAGCCCAAAGGAGCACATCTGAGAAACTGTTTTTTCTGCAAAATAATTTAGTAAACCAGAAAAAAGGAAGTGGGAGTAGCCGTCCATATGTACTTGTCAAAGTTTCCTGCTCTATGGGTAAAGTGAGAAAAATCAGCATTAAGGGGTTTTTAAAAGCACATGTTCTTAAACCTGTATTTCTCAATTTGGGAAATTACCATAAGGAAAGTACATGACAATTGTTCTATTAAAAAATGTTCACTGTGACTTTATTCACTACTACTTAAACAGTAGAAGCACTGTAAGAGAATGTGTACATGGGACCATTTAAAAATATTTGGATCCATCGGCACAGTGACAAGAACAAAGTCATTAAGATGGAGGTAAACCAAGTCCATGCTATGCCAACAAGAGCACCCTGATAAAAGAAAAAAAGGGAGGTGTGGATGGATTTTTGGTATTGTCCTTTAGAATAATTGTAAAAAATAGAATACATGCATGTTTGTAAAAGAGTATAAGTACACAAAAAAGTAATGGATACATTTGAGGAACTTCATGTATTTTTATACTATGGGATTTTTACAAATAGTTGTATAGATTTTTTAATTTTTAAAAGTTAAATTTCCATCCTGACATATGGGTTTACAAATGTTCCTAATATATTAGTTGCTATGAAGAGACAGTTTCTTTCTTTCAGATACTTTTTCCTATGTTCTTTTTCATGCTTTTGTCTACTTAAAGGGACATTCGATTCATGTCTAACAAGGCCTATTACCTTAGCTGTATTATGTCATAGCAGACCATTGTGTCCTAAGAAAAACATATAGGGAAGAGACTGATCGTTTCAGTACAGTAGGAAAACCTCAAAAAGAAAAAAGCTCTTCATGTGCTTGTGGTGCTAAAATGAATAACGTAGCTCTGAACATTCTTATCTATGTCTCTGCACGTGTGAGCACACATTTTTATGGGTCATGTACCAGGGAATGCAATTCTTAGCTCTTTGGGTATGCATATTAATATTCAGTTTATAAAGTGTTGCCAAATTGTTTTCCAAGGTGGTAGACTTCATCATACAACATGTGACAGTCTTCTTGGCTCTAAAATCCTTACTCTTATAGGTATTATCTTGTAAATTTTAGGCTCTGTGGGATAGACAGGGATAGAGACTGATAAGCTGATTTTTTAAAAAATCATAAAAATGCAAAGTTCATTATGCTGAGGTAATCCAAATATGGTTTTAATTTTACATACTTGAATTATGAGATTCAGCACTTTTTTCACATTCTAATGATGATGTGGATATTACTTTTTATGTGAAATGTTTGTTTAAATCTCTTCCAGTTTTTAATCTTTCTGTTTCATAGCTTCATTAATAGTTTTTTTGTTATGTGTACGTATTTTAAATCTTTCCCCAATCTGTGACTTCTCGTTTTACTGTTTGATAGGACCTTCTGATGAAAAATATTCTAATTTTAATGTAATTCTATTGTCAGTCTTGTCCTTTCTCATTATTTTCACAATTCCTTCTATTAATTTTTGTCTGTTCCAAGACCTTGAAAATATTATTCTTAGTTATCTTCCAAAATCTTTATTTATTTTATTTCTATAGTATCATTGCAAATGATTTTTATAGCCCAATTGAACATTTATATTCACTTTAATGCTTATGTGACAGCCAACTTACCTGGTCTTATTTATTGAAATTTGATTTATTCTACATTTCAGAGCAATGTTGCATTTATCATAAAACAAGAAATTGGGTGAGTCTGTTTCTGGAGACAGTTTGCTGGTCTGTTTTTTAACTTCACACCAATACTATACTGTCTTAATTGTTGCTGTTTTATAATAATCTCATCTGATAGTTTATGTCATATATTGCTTTTCTTTACCAAAATCATTTGTCTACTTTGTATTTTCTTTATTTTTTGAAATCAACTTTGCATTTGTATTAATTTTTAAAAAGTCAGCTTGTCAGTCTCCCTGTATATTCCACCGACCCTGCATAACTGTGGTTTTACTTTCTTATTCTCATATTTGTATGAGTCTTCAGAAGAACTCTAGAGGTGACAAGTCTATTTATCATAGAAAAGTATTGTAAATGTTTGTGATCGAGATTGTGAATTGTCTCCTAAGATGACTAATAACAATTCCTTTCATACTTGTATGCCATTCTTCTCACTAGGAAATAAAGTCCATAATCATTATCCTGGAACCTAGCTGGCCTTGAGTTGCTTTGATCAACAGAATGTAGGAGAAGTAAAGCTGTGCAAATTTTGAGCCTAGTTCTCTTGAAACTTGGCAATATCTATTTTTCTGGTTTTGGTCTCTTGGAGCCCTGAACTACCACGTAAGGAAACTATCATAGATGAGAGACTCTCAGCTCTTCTTGCCATCCCAAATAAGGCATAAAACAGGTGGATTAAGCTAACTTGGGTATTCCTATCTGAATTACAGTCCCTGATAAATGCAGCCACATGACTGATCTCCAAGTAACTCAGATGCCTGGTTGAACAGGCCAACTCAAATAACCATTACTGTTTTAAATCACAAGGTTCTGATGTGGTTTGTTACTCAGCAATGGATGATGAGATGGATTTATTCTATCTTCTTTAGGAATGTTTTTAAATCACTAAATAATAATGTACTTTTCCCTAATATTGTTTTTACCTTAAAGTTTATTTTTCTTAATAGATCATTTGTTGATCATATAAAGGCTACCAGTTACACCTACATCCTTTCAAATTTTAATCCACCTCTGTCTCATTTTCTCCTATGGCAAACTTTTTTATGCATGTCCTAATTTTACTGCCTTCTTTCTAATTTGCATGGCTTATTTCTCCTATTATTCATTGGCTACTACTTTATGGCAGAGACATTTACTGCTCCCTGCATAGCCATATGCTCCATGTTTGCCAATCCAGTACCATAGAGGACTTGTGTGTCCAATAGTCTGCAAGTAAAAATGATATGTACTATGCCCACAATGAAATATACAAGCACAGATCTGAAGTGTCAGTTAATCACTTCCCTGATTTCAAGAACCAATTTACACTCTAAGTGTTATAGATAGAGAAGTTATAAAATGGTAGTTTCCATCACCTTGATTCTGCTGCCAACTCATTTTGGAAATACCACTGCAGTTAGAGTGACCATTTTTTTGGTGGGGGGAGGGTATTGTTCTGTCTTGTTTTGTTTTGTTTTGTTTTGTTTTGAAACGGCGTCTGACTATATTGAACTTTTAAGCTAAAGAAATCCCCTGGCCTCAAAATTCTCACATAGCTGGGGCTCTCAGCATGTACAACTACATGCAACTTAAGACAGGCTTTTACTTGTGTGTGTTTTAGTCACTCGGTTTTTAGAACTGATTATTACAACACAAAGTGTCCTTTCCAGGTTAAAACATACTAGCAGAGTAATCCCAAACTGCCACAATTTTTTTTAGCTTTCTTAGAAATTTTTTTAGTATTCTTCATTAAAGAAAAATCTGAAGTTAGCTTAATATATAGCTATATCTTAATTGTTCTAGTTTTAATTTTTATACTCTTCAGGACCACTAAAGTATTTTACAATTATCCATTGAAAATTACAACTAGACGAGCCTAGATTATATATATAATCAGACTCTTTTAAAGCTAATTAATACTCCTTCTTTTCTTTTGAAATCCCCATGTAGATGTATGCATGGGTCTATGTTCAATATGAATTTTATTTTTCTCTTGGGTTTGTTTGAATTTCATTGTGGTTAGAAGCTGTTTTCAGTTTGTGGATTGGTGATGTGATTTTTTAAAAGTTCACTTGAAGACAGTTTCATTTTTCAGCTTTTAAATAATTTGTGGTTAGTTCCAGAAAGTAAAATGTGGTAGGTATGTTTTTTGTTCTGAACTGACAGTTTTTTATCCTATTAATATCTACCATATAATGAACAATTATTGTAATGCAGAATCACACCAAATGCTTTGTAAACATTACCTTATTTAATCTTTGCATCAACTTTAAACAATTCAACAGTGAAACAGCACAAGCAGTGTTCCTGGAGACAGATATTATCATCCTCCTTTATAAGATGTGGAAAATGGTCGAGTAAAATACACACTTCAAGTATTTTGTAAGTCAAAAGACTCAGAACTGTAAGTTGCAGCACCAGGGCTAAACTTCATGTGTGTTTGAGCGTCACCATGTCAATAAAGAAACTCAGCAGTCACAGGCATTCTGATAAGGATCCAGATGCAGTGAATTTCTCCTTAAGCCAGTTACAGAAGAGGCAAGTTCCATGGTTAGATGATTCTATCTCAGGAGTAATTAGTCAGGGCCTCTGGTGGTGACAGGAAATGGAAACTTGGTGCTCTGAAGTCTAAAAATTAACACTGAGCCACTTACAAAACATACAGATCATAGACAAAGATCTTTGGAGGGCATAGTGAAGGCAGGAGTAGGGAAGAGCGATAGTAATCTCATGATTGTTAGATGGGCCTGGAGCAACCCTCAAGGTGCTGTGACACATCGTGGAGAAGGAATGGACCTGGAAGTGAAGGGGAGCATTCTGTATGCTGGTAAGGAAGGTCTCCAGTCATAGTTCCTGGGAGCAGAATGATAGGCAAAGAAAGAAATGAACCAAGAGGAGAGGAAGTCCTGGCAATAACTACAAATGTATACAAAAGAAAGATTTAATTGCTTATGTTATAATGTTGGATGATTCCTCCTGAGGAAAAATCTTAATGCTCTGCCATGACAGGCAAAGGAGTACAGGCTATGTCATCAGAGAGATTCAGGGCTATACCACTTACCAGGTTGTTGATCTTGTACAAATTATGAAATTTGACCTTAAGTTTCATCTTAAAATGAAGACCACAAGCTCACATCATAATATTATTGTAACAATCAAAGGAGACAACGTTTGTTTGGCATATATGAAACCCGAGTCTATGTAACATTCAAATCTGTTCTTTCAAAGTTCTATTCATTTTTTCCACGCCAGTCTTTGTACCTTTATATTGTGATAACAGCTGCA